CCCCCCCCCCCACTCCAGCAACCCTCAGTTTGTTTCCTGAGATTAAGAATTCCTCATATCAGTGAGGGCCTATGATACATGTCTTTCTCTGATTGACTTACTTTGCTTTGTCTCTGGTTGTGTGTATGTATGGCTTCCCCACTATCGGTAGGAACATAAGGGCAAGGCTTTGATTTAGTCTGTGCTTTTAGACCGACATAGAGGATCTTTGAATTTTGGTTGAATTGTGTCAGAGAGGTAAGTAGCAGTCGGTGATTTAGAAGCATTCATCTGTGTCAAATCTCATCCCTAGAAATCAAACACTGAATGAAATGTTTTCCCACGGTCCTTGTCTATGGAAGCTCTTTTGTAGACATGGGCTCCATGGGGGATTGTTAGAGTGCCCCAGATTGAGAAAGAAGGATGAGCTTGTGGGGGGGGAGAGGAGGAGAGCTCACCTTCCTGCTACCTTTGTGACTTCAAGTTCAGTGTTTGATGTCTTTATTTTGACCCTTCCCATTTTGTGCAGAGCATCTATTAAGAACATCTTCAACCAGCCGACCCGCTTCTTTGCCGAGAGTACCTGCCATGGAAAGTGCCAAGACCATCTCAGGTAACGACTTTTTATCTAGAATTTCCTTTAGAAAGACTCTTCCAGAAGTTTTAGTAATGGTACTGAATGCTTTCTCTTTAGACTTATTTAACTTTTCTTGCCTCTTTAGCTCTTGAGTTGATTCTTTTTCTTTTTAAAGATTTATTTTTATTTTAGAGAGAGAATGCGTGGAGGGGGCAGAGAGAGAGAGAAACTCAAGCAGACTACCCACTCAGCCAGGAGCTTGGAGTGGGGCTTGATCTCACAACCCTGAGATCATGACTTGAGCTGAAATCAAGAGTCGGATGCTTAACCGACTGAGCCACCCAGGTGCCCCTTGAGTTGATTATTTTTCACTCTGAATTTCCCCTGTTGTATCTTCCAGATTCTATAGAAATCACATTTCATGGCTGTAATTTTAAAATAAAGCAGGAACACCTGGGTGGCTCAGTCTGTTAAGTGTCTGCCTTAGGCTCAGGTCATGATCCCAGGGTTCTGGGATCAAGCCCCATGTTGGGCTCCCTGCTTGGTGGGGAGCCTGCTTTTCCCTCTCCCTTTGCAGCTCCCCCTGCTTGTGTCCCTTCTCTCTCCCTCTCTCTGTTAAATAAAATCTTTAAAATAAATAAAACAAAAAACCCTCAAAACTAGATCATTCCATTTATTTAACAAGTATTTAAGAAAGGCCTAGAGCGGGTTAGATGTGCCAAAAATATAGCTTGATACACAGTCAGTGTAGTTGTGAAAGATTAGGCTATCCATCCTAAAGTGTGTCGGGACTTATTTCGGAGCACACCAAAAATTCTCCAGAAGCCAGATTTTTCCAGTATGCTAAAGCCATCCTACAATGTGAATTTGACAGGCTCCCCTTGTCTCCTAGGGCTAACTCCATTTTATCAATTGCTCACATTATTTTCCCTTTGTGGCCTTTATTTACCCTTTATAACTCAACTAGAAATTGGACCAGGGAAGGAGAAATTCCTGTAACTCTGCCTCATACAGTTAACCTTCCACTTGTACGGGGATTTAAGTTAGTACAGTTTTTAGACGTCATAGCCAGGTCTTTATATTAGTGGAAAGTCCAGCCAAAATTACCATCCCAAAGCCTTTTCTTCTCACAGAGTCCTTCCGATTCTTTCTCAGTTTCCTCTATTTTATATAAAATGATGAAAGGTGTTCTCAGCCAGTTTTCTAGCACACCACTGAAACTGCTGATTTAAGGCATATGAAGATCTGACATTGAAAGAAAAAACAAGAATAATTATAAAATTATGTCAGAAATATGTATAAATACATCATTCTAATAAGATCATGTAATAGGAGAAAGCATCTCTCTCCTCTGGATCTTTACAGACATCACTTTACTAATGCAGAGTTATGTTCTGTTGTGGCTATCCTAAAATCACCAAGAACATTTTAGTCAATAAGAGGGGTGGCCACTTCAGTCATCGGGGAAGAATTACTGATGTACAGCATTGATTACAGCCAGCTCGGGGCACCTGCACATCCAGCATCTTCTGATGTGAGAGCGTGTGTCTGAGGTCAGGAACTTTGGCTCACGTTTCCTTTCTCTCCGAATTTAGCCCAGGGCCGCGAGCACCTGCGCTTAGTCAGCGCCTCCTTGCTAGAAAGTGGCTTTTGTTGTGGCTCTGTTACCAACGGCTGAAGCACGGGCTACTTCCACTTAGCAGTTCTGAGAACTTTCTGTAGTTCTGACAAGGTGTGATGTCTTACTGTGCTAGCCTTTCAAAATAGAACTTTCCTGAACTTGTTTCTCAGTAGTTGACTTGACACCTTTTGGTTTTCTGTTTGTCTCACTGGTTCATGTTTTTAGAAACATGGCCTGATCCAGAATTAAGTGTGGCCCTGAAATGAAGTATCTTTCCTTTCTTTCCTTTTAATGGTATCTTGGCCAAGTGTAGACAGGTTATGTTTATTTTAGTTGACAGTGAATAGCAGCCAAGTATTGCTTTAATTAGCCTTTGGTTTTCATTGTATTTGTGATTAAATGAACATTTCTGGAATACTCAACTATATGCTACATAGGTTCTGTGAGTGTTAATGCGGATGGATAAGACACACTCCTACCTTCAGGGAATGTGGGGTTCAGTGCATATTTCAACTGCTGTACCTTTTTTACAGTTTTCTTAGTGAAAGAAATAAATCCTTTCAAGTTACCAGTATGATAATGAAAATGTTAGTTTTTCCTCATATATGGTAAGTTCTGCTCTTTTTGGAACCTGCTGAAGAAAATATCTCAACTCAATTTAAAAGTGTTTTATAAAAGTAAATGTTTTTCTAGATTTCTATAAAATGCATAATGACTGTTTCTCACAATCAGTGTCTCGACGAAGTAGTGAAGAGATGAAACGAGACATCTCTGCACCTGAGGGAGCGTCGCCGGCCTCTCTTATGGCTATGGGAACCACGTCTCCACAGCTTTCCCTGTCCTCCTCTCCCACGGCATCTGTTACCCCCACCACCCGAAGTCGGATAAGGTAGAGAACAGTTAATACTGATGCATTTCATGCATACCTCTCCTGGCCTTTGGAGATTGGTGATCAGGTTGTAAAATAATGGCAGTCGAGCGCTGATTTTTTTTCTTTGTGTCTTATTAAATGTTTTCTCATCTCTTCTGTGCCCAGAATTGGGTAAGATGGTATAATAAAAAGAAAGGCAATGTAAAAGAGTTGCTTCCTTTCCCCAAAAGTAAGCGTTGTAGAATTGGAATATTGGGCTTGGGTGGAGGGTTAGGGAAGGCTTCCGAGAGGAGCGGCGTCTGGGTGGGGAGGGCGGGCTGGTATCTTTGGCAAGGTCAGTGACGTGAGCCAATGTATAGAAGGGTGAGTAACTGAGGGTTGGGGAGCTGTGGGTAGGGGGTACTGCACATGCACAGAGGATGGGTACAGAAGGCCAGAGGAAGGTGTGGACCTACCACATCCAGGGGCCGTGGAGGAAAAGATTGACAGTAGGGTGTGGCTAGACATGGAACCTCTTTATAGTCCAATTGAGTCACTTGGATGTGGTAGTAGCTATAAAGTGGGGTAAGTAAATCAATGTGAGAAGGTGATTCAGGGATTCTTCTGTTGTGGACAAAAGTTGGGGAACACAACTAAAATGACATTATGATGTTTCTGGGACAAAGATACCAAGCCCGGATCAGGATGATAGCAGTGGAAATGGTGAAGGGAGGTTGGGACTCTGGAGGCTTTTCAAAGGGAAAGATGATTGATTCTGGCAAACAGATGTCTAGAAAAGGAATGAAAGAAGGAGAGCTACCAAAGGGGACTCTAATTGTTTTAGATTGGAAGCTGAGAACGTGATGCCACACTGATCACTGATAAACAATACCTGAAAATGGAATAGTATATTTTATTCGTATTTCTCTAATGTCAGAAGCCACTTGGGATTAAGAAGTAGTTATCGGGTGCCTGGGTGGCTCAGTTGGTTGAGCGACTGCCTTCGGCTCAGGTCATGATCCTGGAGTCCCTGGATCGAGTCCCGCGTCGGGCTCCCTGCTCGGCGAGGAGCCTGCTTCTCCCTCTAACCCTCCCCCCTCTCATGTACTTTCTCGCTCTCTCAAATAAATAAATAAATCTTTAAAAAAAAAAAAAAAGAAGTAGTTATCATTTAGAGGAAAAAAAACATGTCAGAAATGAAGCATACATTGTTATAGGGATATTGAAGTGTATTGAGAAGAATTGAAGGAGGGATAGGAGTGGGTTTCAGAACCTTAGCTTTATATTGACATTCCATTTTATCCTCATATTGGATAAAATGGAATAGTTGGCCTGTCAAACTCAAATTATATACTTGTGTTTAAAGCCCTGCCTCTAGGGGCCCAGCCCCTTAGAATAGTGGTCCCGTCAACAGTGCGCCATCCGAGCAAGTAGGGGTGCAGTGATGAGGGTAGCTCTTGGCTCTGCCCAAGCTGATGCAGGGAGAGCACTGTCCATGCTTGTCTCTGTCCTGGGTGGTAGGCTACCTGCAGTGTGCCTGTGGGAAGGGCACCCACTCTTCCTGGCTTCCCTACTCAGAAGCTGTGATTTTCAACAAGGCATCTCCTGGAAAGTGTCTTCATCTTTTTTTTTTTTTTTTTTAGAGATTTTATTTATTTATTTGACAGAGAGAGATAGCAAGAGAGGGAACATAAGCAGGGGGAGTGGGAGAGGGAGAAGCAGGCTTCCCGCCGAGCAGGGAGCCTGATGCGGGGCTCGATCCCAGAACCCTGGGATCATGACCTGAGCCGAAGGCAGAGGCTTAATGACTGAGCCACCCAGGCACCCCGAAAGCGCCTTCATCTTACAATGAAGAAGTTATGAGAGATGACCCCCCCGGCTTTGGAAGGATCTTTTTTTGCAGCTTCTCGTTGTAATCCATAGAATTACTCTTCTTTGATGCTTTTTAAGCTGTTTCTGTAAACAAACAGACCTGGTGTGAGCCAGAATAAACCTTTCACATTGATTATAGTAGTTTTAGTTTGAGCATGATGGAGATTTATTTATTTATTTATTTATTTGCTTGCTTTTTTGTGTTCATTCACATATCTTAACTTTATCTTCATTCTCTTTTCCTGTGCTTGGTGGTATTATAACAAACTTTGAACTTTTTAAACCAAAGCAGGAGTCTGGTGGGCTGGCATGCAAGCATAAAAGTATATTTCTTCAAGGCAGCAGTTTTAACTGCTGGTTGGAAATTTTTGTATTTTACTTCTGGTTCTAAGATAAATCAGATTGGTGCTGCTTCAGTGCACCTCTCAATTGTAAAAGCTTCAGTTCTAAATGTATACTCTTTTATTTCCTAACTTACTTTGGAGGGTGACTACAGACAGAGTCAATGCGCTGAACAATACTAAGCCGCTTGTAACATAATAACCTTTGGGACACTTATTGGACTAAGTTTATGGGGTGTGGGATAGAATCTCTGCTTTATTTATAAAGTAATCACTAAAAACTAGACCAGGCTTTCAAGGGTATGCCACTTGTGAAGGAGCAGGTTATTTTAGAAGTACTCTCCCTCCAGGTAGTCCTAAAGTCGTTACTAAAAGGAAGGATTTGGTCCAGGATATGTAGGCTTATATGCCTCCCTTGCATCAACACCAGAGTGATCCCAAAATCTTGATTCATTGTCTCATCTGGAGCAGGATATTTGTTCTTCCTCCAAGGGAATTGACAGTGCCCAAAAGTACCCTACGTATATTTTTAAGAAATGAGTTATAAGTGGCCACTGTTGGATTTTCTTTTTCTTTCTTTTCTTTTCTTTCTACATATATCTATCTTATAGTAAACTCTGAAGTTCCTCGAGGGGCAGGGACCCTGTGTTGTTCACTACCCATTGCCCAGCACTTGCACACTGCCTGGCAAAGTGGTGTATAAGGAGGTATTGAATGAGTGAGTGAATTTACAGAAAAATCCCATTTTTCTATGCAAGATAAAATTCCAATTACCTATAGTCAATAAAGAGTGTATAACGTAGCAGTAAACACATTTGAGATGTTTTACGGATATTTGTTGCCATCTGTTGTCTTATCTGCTTCCCCCAGTTGTAAGCACCTAAAGGTAGGAACTATGCCTTATAATCCTTCACCTTGCATAATCTTGCCCTTTGTATTTACAATAAGTGATTTGTTTTTTAAAAAGAGGAAATGATTGAGGATATAAAAGGTTGGAAACAAAAATGAGTAAAATAAAACTAAAGCGTAAAGATTATGGAAGGGTAAGATGTTGGGTGAAAGGCGGCCGTGACAGCTGTCAGGTGCTGCCAGTGTCAGGTTATTTTTCCCTCTTCCGAGCGTTCCGGAGTGCATTGCATTAATTGTGAACGCACGTTGTGCTGAATCTTTGCCAGTTTCCGTGTGGATAATAGAGTCCCTCCCTTCAGACAGCAGAAACCCCGACAGTGATGGGTCTAGGAGGGCCCTGTAAAAATTGGTAAGTAAAATCAAATGAGTGAAGACACATCTTACCATTAGATGTCTAGTGTGTGCAGTTATCCTATTCAAAAAATGCAAACCGACACTGTTCTCTTCTTTGTGGGATTTCTGGTTTATAATGGAGCTCAAATAAAAAATATTTTAACTTTGGGTTCCTTGTTTTCACTTAGGGAAGAAAGGAAGGACCCTCTGTCAGCATTGGCGAGAGAATATGGAGGTTCAAAGAGGAATGCCTTGCTGAAGTGGTGTCAGAAGAAAACAGAAGGCTACCAGGTAATTAATCATATGGTTCCTTTGTCCCACGTGAGCAGTGGCCACACCAGGTGCTAGAGTGTCATAGCTCGCTACGTATCTCATTAAGATGGGGAATCCTATGCTGAATTTTAAGAAGGCTTAATGACTGAGCCACCCAGGCACCCCGAAAGTGCCATAGACTAAAAGCATTAAAACCTGCTTTAAGTCTATCCCAGACTTGGCTGAGTGTCACTTGGATGGCATCCATTTTTTACCTTTCCAGAGTAGCTAACCTTTCCAGTACTTTTATTCAGCTATTCTATAACCCTTTCTTAATTGAGTCCTATTAACTGCCTTCATTGAGATCTCATCTGAACTAAGAGTAAAAATATATTTATTTAACTTTATTTTATTATTTTTTTTTATAAATTTTTTTTTTAAAGATTTTATTTATTCAGTTGAGACACAGAGATAGCATGAGCAGGGGGAGAGGCAGAGGGAGAAGCAGGCTCCCAGCTCAGCCAGGAGCCTGATGCGGGACTCGATCCCAGGACCCTGGGATCATGACCTGAGCTGAAGGCAGACGCTTAACCATCTGAGCCACCCAGGCGCCCCTATTTAACTTTATTTTTAAAGATTTTATTTATGTGACAGAGAGAGACACAGCGAGAGAGGGAACACAAGCAGGGGGAGTGGGAGAGGGAGAAGCAGGCTTCCCATGGAGCAGGGAGTCCGATGCGTGGCTTGATCCCAGGATCCTGGAGATCATGACCTGAGCCGAAGGCAGACGTTTAATGACTGAGCCACTCAGGCACCCCATATCTATTTTACTTTAAATTAATATTTTCATTAATGGTTAAAATGATAAATTTTATGTTATATATGTTTTATGTATATTTTACTGCAATAAAAAATTACTTAGCAAAAAAAAATAAAAGTAAATGATCGGGATATAAGTAGATAGAAAATCAACAAGGGCATATAAGACTTGAACTTGATACTAGATACTATATATTTGTGTATATGTATATATGTGTGTGTGTATACATATATATGTGTGTGTATACATATATATATATACACACACACACACACACACTTAACACATATTTATATAACCAGACCTACCCAACCACAGCAGAATCAAAGATTCTTCTCAGGTGCACATAGAACATTATAGGATAGGGTAGGGTATATGTTGGGTCATAAAATGTCTCAATAAATTTGAACAAAGATTGAGATTATATCGAGTATCTTTTCTGACCACAGTGAAATGAAATTAGAAGTGTATAACAGAAGGAAAATTCACAACTAAGTGGAAATTAAAACACAAATTCTAAATAACCAGTGGGCCAAAGAATAAATCACAAGGGAAATTAGAAAATAAGGAGAGTGAAAGTGAAATACAACATACTGAAATTTACAGGAGGCATTGGGAACATCTCTCTGAGAGAAGTTTATAGCCGTAAACACCTGCCTTTAAAAAGAAAAATCTCAAATCAGTAACCTGACCTTTCACTTTAAGAAAGTAGAAAAAGAAGAGTAAACTAAACCAAAGCAATCAGAAAGAAAGAAAGAAAGATTAGAGCAGACAAAACAGTAGAAAAGATTAATGAAAACAAAAGCTGGTTCTTTGAAAAGATCAACAGATTGACAAACCTTTAGCTAGATGGACAAAGGAAAAAAGAGAGCAGACTAAAAATCAGGAATAAAAGAGGGGACATTCCTAGTGACCTCACAGAAATAAGGAATACTTATTTACTTAATAATAATAATAATAATAAGAGGAATACTTAAAAGGGAATACTATGACCAGCTGTACGCTGACACATTGGATAACCGAGATGTAAAAGGACAAATTCTTAGAAATACACTATCAAAAATGACTCAAAAAGGGGGCGCCTGGGTGGCTCAGTCGTTTGGGTGTCTGACTCTTGGTTTCGGCTCAGGTCATGATCTGAGAGTCTGGGATTAAGCCCCATGTCAGGCTCCATACTCAGTGCAGAGTCTGCTTGTCCTTCTCCTTCTCCCTCTGCTCCTCCCCCCGCCCCCAAATAAATAAATAAAATCTTAAAAAAAAATGACTAAAGAAGAAAGAATTGCAGGGTGCAAGGTCAGTATACTGAAATCACTTGTATTTCTTTTTTTCTTTTTAAGAGGGAGAGAGTGATTTTGGTGGGGGGTGGGGGGGACAGAGAGAGAATCCTAAGCAGGCTCTATGCCCAGCATGGAGTCCAGTGCAGGGCTTGATCTCACAACCCTGAGATCATGACCTAAGCTGAAATAAGAGTTGGGCACATTTAACTAACTGAGTCACTCAGGTGCCCCATCACTTGCATTTCTATATGCTAGTAATGAAAACTGAAAATGAAGTTAAAACAATACTTCACTTTACAGTAGCATCAAAAAGAATAAAGTACTTAAAAAAAGAATAAAGTACTTACAAATAAATTTAACCAAGGGGAGGACAAGGCTTGTACACCGAAAACTAGAAAACATTGCTGAAAGAAATTAAAGAAAATCTAAATAAATGGAAAGACATCCCATGTTCATGGATTGGAAGTTTTGATGCATGCTACAACATGAATGAACTTTGAAAATATTATGCTAAGTGAAAGAAGCCAGACAGGAAGCTCCAGCATAAAAGATTAAAATACTCCAGATCTGAAAGCAGGCATAAAACAGATAACTCTCAGCTTTGATGAATGGCCAGAGGATCAATGCTGATGGCTACAAGTTTGATCTAAGACTGAAATCTCAGACATGAGTCAATATTGCACATCCACTTGATTTTTTTCATTATGGTTTTTTTTTTTTTAAAGATTTTATTTGTTTATTTGACAGAGAGAGAGAACATAAGCAGGGGGAGCAGCAGGCAGAGGGAGAAGCAGGCTTCCCGCCGAGCAGGGAGCCCAATGTGGGGCTCAATCCCAGGACCTTGGGATCATGACCTGAGCTGAAGGCAGCCGCTTAACCGACGGAGCCACCCAGGCGCCCCTCATTATGGTTTTTTAAATTGAAATATTCACATAAGATACAATTTACCCACCTAAGATACACATTTTAGTGGCTTTTGGTATAGTCACAGGGTTTTGTAAAACTGACCACAGTCAATTTTAGAATATTTTCATCAATCCAAAAAAATGCTGTAACCATTAGCAGTCAGTCCTCACTTGGCTCTGTAGGCAAGCACTAATCTACTTTCTATCGCCATATATTTGCCTTTCCTGGACATTTCATATAAATGGAATCACACAGTATGGGGGCCTTTGTGACTGGCTTCTTCCATTTAGTATCATGTTTTTAAGGTTCATCCATGTTGTGGCTTGTGTTGTCAGTACTTTATTCCTTTTTATGGCCAAGTAATATTCCACTGTTTGGCTATACCACATGTTTTCCATTCATCTGTTGATGGACATTTTGGTTGTTTTGGCTGTTACATTTATGCTGCAATGAACACTGTGTATAAGTTTTTGCATGGACATAAGTAATTTTCCTCATGCTCCTGTCTGTCTTCTACTCTGCTGCCAAACTGGTTTGAAATTGTGATCTGGAAGCTACTTCCTCTTCAAAGACCATGCAATTATAGTCCAAGATCCTCAGTATGGAGATCAGTGGTCCCCTGTGATCCCCTTGCATAGCCTTATTGACTCTTCATTCTTGTGAACTCCCCAGTCTCACCTTGGTCCCGAATGCCTCCCCATCCTCTCACTCCACCCCTTCCATCTGGGGAGTGTCTGCCCCTTCAGCTTAGAAAACAGCATCTATGCAAAATAGTTTGTGTCCCTGCTTCACCCCTGCAGGCGTTCATCTTCACACGTTCCACTCCCTCCTCACAGAAATGAGGGAGCCTAGTTCTTCCTTGACTTCAGGACAGTGTTTGCTATACTTCAGGGCATATTCTTTGGGGGTCTTTGCATCTGTATTTCATTTTCTCTGTGTTCCCAAACTCCACAGGGTGTATCACAAGGGTACTAAAGTTGTCAGTTTGCATGTCTGTCTTCCTTTCTAGACTTGTGAGCTCGTTTTTGCCTCTCTAGCATCTGGCATAAGGCTCAGCACATGACAAAGCTGACTAACTGTCTGAACCTATATATTGAATGTAATGGAATACATTAGAAGTTCATTTTTGTAACTGGGGTTCTCAACCCTGTGTGTAAAAAACTGGGAAAATTGTGGGGAAAATGCAGATTCCTGAGAACCACACCTACAGATTTGTGATTCTAGAGGTATAAAGTGAAACCCTGGGGTCTGCATTTGTACAAGTACTGCAGGTGATGCATTGATCACACTGAGAATCACACATAGAGTAGTAATTAAGGCCGTGGACTTGAGTGTCAGCTCTGCCCCTACTGTGTGACCTCATGCAAATTACTTAGCTTCTTTGAGCTTCACTTTTCTCTTCTGTAAAATGGAGGAGTAACTGAGGCAGTCATGCACATTCTCTAGCATTGACTTATACGTTTAATAGATTTTTAAATTATTATTTTCTTTGATAGCATTGGGTGCTGTCTGGTAACATAAACTACATTTTCTTAGACTGCCATGTCAGTTGAGTAATTTTAGGTAATTATAAATTACTTCCCCTTGGTTATAGAACTTTGCCATGTATCGAGTTGATTAAAAAGTTAAATAATCAAGTTGATGGAGATGATTCCAACATTAAATCAGTAATTTAACAATTGTCTCTTGGTTCCTTCCCACCTAAATTCTGTGGCTCTATGATTTTTAGGGACATTGTATTGGTTAAAAAAAAAAAAAAATACAATTCTAGGGAAAGTGAGGGGGAGAAGAGAGGCTAATCCGCGGTTGCTTTGAGGAAAGCCGCCGGGGGGCCTCGAGGTCCTGTGGAGTTTTCCAAACTCCGTGTGCTGCTTAGGCATTTGCAGTGTGGGAAATGGTCACACCCTGTTGGCATCTGTCTGTTCTTATACCCACGAGGAAACCCTTGAGGTTTAGGTGAACGTGGGATTTGTCGTGCAGCTGGTTCCAGATGGTTCCCCCATTAAGACTTTTAGAAATGGGCATACCAAAGATTT